AAAACAAAAAAAAAGAAATCCCATGTTCCTAGAGATAAAGATTATATACGGGGGAGAGAGAGAGAGTGAGAGAGAAAAAAAGGAAACAAAGAACAAAAAAAAAAAAAATATGTAAAAGAAAAACGTTTGCAAATGAAATATATAAATCACTCGAATAACGAATACTAATCTGCTTGACATCGAAACGTAAGAAGTTTTTCGTTTAATCTTTTTATCCTTTACAAAATAAAAATTACTTGAATAAAAAAAAAAAAAAAAAATGGAAAATCTTCTCCGAATACACCTTTTTGTATTTATATTTTTCCAAAAAAAAAAAGAAAAAAAAAAAAAGCTTCGTTAAAAAGCTTTGACTGCGTTAAAATAAAAAGAAATCAAAAGTGGAACATGTCGTCTCTCGTAAATTCTCAGGATTCAACAAACGAGTCTAATTGCGAACCTTGTTTCCTTTTTTTTTTCCTTTTCTTTTCTTTTTTTTAAACAATTCGGAAAAAAAAACGAACTCTCTGTGTGCGTGTGTGTGAGAGAGATTGAATTAGAATAGAATGATATTAATTCTTAAAATTAATCTACGATTTATATGCTCATTGTATTATTTTCGTAATTTCTTCTTTTTCCTCCCTTTTATTTTTATTTTTATTTATTTATTTATTTATTTTTTTTTTTAGGGTTTACAAGAAAAGTTCGCAAAACGGTAAAATAACAGTTTACCTTGCAAACAGAGACCTCGTCGTCAGTGAAGCAAAAATAGATAAGTTACAAGGCGTTCTATTGGTCGATCCAGAATATCTTCAAGAAAAGAGGGTAAGTTGTTTGAAATTATTTTTTTTTTCTTTTCCTATATATTATATTTCTTATTAATATTATTTTATATTAATTTATTAAATGATATTTTAGAAAAAAAAAATATTGGAAAACAATGTTATTTGTTTATCAATTTTGAACAAATTTAGATTATTTTTTATAAATTAATTTTTATAATATCAAAGTTAATAATTAACCCTTTGCCCGAAACTTGTTAATTCTTCATTCAAATTTAAACAGAAGTCACACGTACACATGTCTACCTATGCGTGTGTAAATGTGTATGCGTGTGTGAGAGAGAGAGAGAGAGAGAGAGAGAGAGAGAGAGAGAGAGCGTACGTATTTCATTTATGATAAATGACACCCCTTTGAAGTCTCTAACGTAAGGTGCGAAAACGTTCAGAATTCTGTTTGCAAATGGGTCATTTTGAATTCAACGTTGTACAAAATAACCAACCTTCACTGTTGGTAACATTCTTCGATCATTAATTAACCACCTATTCGTTTGTCGAATCAACTAACTCAACGAAACAAATTTCTTATTAAATAATTATCAAAACAAATTGTTACAGTCATTTTCAATGGTGTGTGTTAAGTTTTATCATTAAAAAAAAATGAAGTTAATTTAAATATTAATAATTAAACATTCAATTTTTTTTCCTGAGTAAATTTAATTAAAAGTTCTACGGAATAAAGTTTAATTGTTATTAATATAATTAGAGTACGCGCGTTCAGAATTATATTATTTATAACCCTTAAGAAAAATATTTCACAATTGTAATTAGAGAATAAGTTAATTATTAATTTTTTTCTATTTAAATATAATATATATATATATATATATACACATTTTTATCCCAGTGTAAATTATATTAGTGCAGATAAAAATCGTTTTGTTGTAAAACCCTCTAATAACATTTCTTTTTCTTTTTTTTTTTCAGGTTTATGGACAAATAACGCTGACGTTTCGTTATGGAAGAGAAGACGAGGAAGTAATGGGCCTAAAATTTTGCAACGAGGCAGTTATGTGTATCGCCCAACTTTATCCACCATATTCCGGACCAGATTATCACGAGATTATAGCACCTTTTCAGGTAAATCATTCCCTTTTGTTTTTATTTTATTAAATAATTATGAGATAAATTCATTTCATATTGAGGGGAAAAAAATATTAGATAAGAAAAAAAAAAGTTAGATTAAAAAATATATATAAAT